TCTCTGGAACTACCCAGCCTATGAAAATAATTGTAAAATCTGGATATCTGAATTAAAAAAATTTAACATTTCTAATATATTAAAAAATAATATTATAAATATTTTTGATATTATTAGAAAAAGAGATTGATCATATTAATGAGCCTTATTGATGATAAATTTATTTTTAAGTCTTTAACAAAATTCCTTAATCATAATTTTGGAATTATGGCAAATAAGAGGAATTAAAAACTCCTCCGTTAAATAATAAAAAAAAAAATAATTAATGTTTATTAAAAAATACTATTCAACTAATAAAACTGACCAAAACTAGATTTCAAAATTTTTGATTCACTTTATAATGTTACTGGAAGTTGTTTTGAGGGTTTTTTCCAATACTCTTATCAAAAAATTATTTTGTATTTTTTGGATGAGAATCATTTTTTCTAATTTTTCACATTATTATTTTACTTTTTCAAATTTTTGTTTTTCTTTTCCTTTGTTTTTCTTTTTTTTTTTTTTTACTTTTTTTTTCTTTTTGTGATTTTTTTTGCAAAAGATCATGTCCCAAATAAAAAGAGATCTTCGAAAAGACAAATAATCACTAAGAAAATTTAGACTATGTAATGTCTTTGAAAATGGATTTAATTATTAGTAAAAAATCTTGTTGTTAAACTTTTTTTAGTGTAAATTCAGTAATTAAAAACCCATAATACTAATTTCAAAAATTTTGACTCACTTTTTTTTAGTTTTTGTTTTATTTTAATTTTAATATATCAGGTTTTTATATATTTAGAATGATTTAACAATCAATTAAAAATCAGATTTAATAATTAATTGTTCTTGAATACTTTTGGATAATTTTTTTTTTTCAATTTATTTTTTCACACGAGTCACAATTTTTGAAATGATGTTTATATATATATATATATAGATAGATAGATGGATAGATAGATATATAAATTAATTTTAAATATAAATGTTTCCAATATTTTCCAGGATATAAAAAGATACCAATACAATCCTAAATTTGGCTTGATCTTTCAAAAATTAAAAAACAAATAAGGGAATTTTACGAGAATTCGAAAGAATTGATAAAATTTATAAAATTACTCAATTCTTGAAAGCTTTTCTCGAAATATAATCAATTCAAATATGTTAAATTTTTAAAAATGATTTTGATTTTAAAATTTAATATCAAAATTTGATTTAAGTTTTCATTCACATTCACTTTTAATTTTCCACTATTTGGGATTTTTTTTCATATCTACTTTAACCAAAGTGTAAAATTGTTTGGTTTGGAATAATTAAATCATTATCTCAATTCTGCTGGTTAATGGTTTCTTGACAATTTATATATATTTTTTTAAAATATAGGAATATAAATTTTCAAATTGTTATTTCTAATATTTTGGATTGATAAGAAAAATAGAAATTTCTTGGTTTTTTGAAATTTTGGTTTTTGTATTTGACTATACTTATGGCATTTAAGGTCAACCTTAAAAAGTTTTTTGTTGATAACCAAATAATCGATTTTTAACAGTCTTTAATCCTGTGAAAATTCAAAAACGAACCCAAGGTATCCCTTACTTTCAAAAATTCTAATTAACAACCTAGAGTACCATTCTTAAGTGTAATAATGTGAAAGTTTTCTTATGGGTTGATCTGAAATCAAAGTATTTTATTAATTTTTTCATTTTTTTCTAGTATTTTTTTTGTTTGAAGAAAAAAAAACAACAGATCCCAAATCGTAGTTCAGCCTTCCTTTCTTTTTCTTCTAACCTTTGCACAAATCTTTATTTTAATCATAACTTGTGTTTGGTTTCAATACGATGACACATATAAAAGAGTTATTGATTTTACAAAATTTACAACACAAGAAAAATATGAGGAATTATTTCAAGAAATACGATATTATGATCCTACAACGGCCGTTATGTTTTAAATATAAAGCCAAAATCAGTCTATTAATTTTAATTGGAATTGGACTTTGTTTGTCCTACCTCCGTAATTATTGCAAATTGATGGTCAGTAACACTTGTTTCAGATCAGTTTTTAGTTTGCAATTGACAATTGTTTGTAATGCTTTATTTGAACAAAGCAACAATGGTGAATTTTTAACATATGGATTAGAAATTTTTAATTATGAAATAAAAACTTTAAATTATTTAAATTCTTGGATTAATACAGCAATTACTGAAATATGCAAAATAAACAGGAATACACCAATTCTTATTTATAAAACAGAATTTAAAATTGAAAATATAGTATAATTTCAATAAATAATAAAAAATTCAAAAAAAAATTATTAAATTTATCTCTTACTTATTTTGAAAAATTAATCAAATTTAATCAACAAACCAAAAATAAAATTAACTGGAATTCATAAAGATTTAATTGAACTAAAAAAGGAAATCTATAAATACACATACAATGAATTATTGTGTTCCAAAAGCTCGAAAGTGCAAAAATACTTTACAATATTGAGAAACCAAAATTTATTATTCACACTCAAAAATATCTAAGCTATCCATCAAGTTTAACAATCCTAAAATTTAGGACATTTACCAATGACTTAAACAGATATTACTATTTAATCAATAAAAACTCCAATAAATTTTGTCCTTTAAGTTTAAAATATAAACAAAATGAAGCACTTCAAAAAATATTCTGACTTTTATTAAGCTTTCAAACACTTTCAAACAATTTAAAAACCTTTCAAACACTTCCCAACACTTTCAAAGAGGAAATACTTTGTAAAAGTGATAAGCTTTGTAAAAGTCACGAGATTTTTTGTTGTGAGTTATAGAAAATATTGATCATTTTTTATGGGTCTGTCCTTCCTATGAAAAAGATAGATTAATATTTCATAACAAATAAATTAAAAGAATTAAATACTAATGAAATAATTTTAAACTATAACAGTTTATTGTTATTTTCATTGGTTAACAATCGTGAAATCTATGATTTTACGCTTAAATTTCTGAAAGGGAATTGAAGTATAAGGGCAACTTAGAGTGTAATTTACACTTCTTCAATAATAAAAATAAAAAAAAAACACTAGTGAATTTTCAAGATTCAAACTATCAATTACCCGGCTGCTGAGGAGCTATTTGGATTACCCATAATGACGATCGCCTTTGGTACGATCGTAGGAAGAAGTTCCTTACTGATAAATTCGAATAAATTTCAAAAAATTTTTAGTTCATTTTCCATTTTTATAAATCTTCGAACTGTTTCTTATCAAAAAGTCTCTTACAAAGAATATTTTGAAGAACTACTAATTTGACAGAGTTTCTTAACACTTGACTTCATAAAAGGCTTTATTCAATGTTGAGCATAAAAATTTCAAAAAGCAAAATCAAGTAAAACTTTCCAAACATAAATGGCAATTTATCAGTATTAAAATTATTTGTTGTGGCAGTATTTCGCAGTTTTAGTTATCCAATTAACTGTTATATAGAAATTCTTCATTATGAAATAATTGATCTTGGTGGTTCAATGTTAACACATATGTTTGGATCAATTTATGAAATAACAATTTCCTTTTTTATCTCAAAAATAAAATCATAAAACCATCGCCTAAATTCTTCAGAAACAATCACTTACATACTATTTATTTCAAAATAAATTGAACAAAATTTTCATTCAGCTTTCCTAAAAAGGTTTTATAAAACAGGTTACTTTTTAATTTTTAAGACTTAAAACAAGCGTAAATTATTCATTCAACTTTTAAGTTTTGGGAACTTTGATGATTTATTCTTGATAGGAATGTGATTTTTCAAAAAGTGAATGAAAATTTTGGTCTTTTTTTTTGAAATTAGCTGTATTTTCTTTGATTTACTTGTTGTTTGTGTGGGTTTTATTTCCAAATTTAAATGCAGCAATTGAAATACCGAGTTGTAAATACAGAGCGACTAAAAATACTATTTTTGCTTTGGTTACTTGCACGTTGATTGTTTACACAAGCCTTTTCTTTTCCATAAATCTAAGTTTGAATATTTTTATGGTTTTTTCAAAGTTTTGATCATTTCTTTCGATGTTTTCATTCCAGAAGTAAGTTGGCAGTTCCAGATATCATTTGGTTTTGAACCCTTTGCTTTTACTTGTTAAAAAACTGTTCTTTTTTAATTTCTCTTTTTGGACTATTTCTCCAAAGCAAACAAAGATTTCTTTATTTTTCTTTGACGACAATTTACCCTTATTTCCACTTTTAAAACTAAAATCCTTAAAGTTAAATTTAGTGTAATATATCTTCGGAATTCATCACTTGCTTGTAGTTCACCTTTTAGTTTTATGGATTTTTTTCATTCTTTTTATTCAAAAAACTCCTTTCTTTTTCTTTGAATTTCAAAACCAATAAACACTAACACCAATTTTAAAAATTTTTCTTTCAAAAATGATTTGGGTGTGTTTTCGTTTTTTTCAAATCGAGAGTTAAAGTATTTTTTTTTCTACTGAGAAAGGATAAATTGAAATTTCTAAGACTTTTTTTTTTTTTTTTTTGTGAAAATGCTTTTGTTTGGGAATAAAGATTTCATTTTTTTGTTAATTAAAAAAGTTTTTTCGTAAAAGTGTCTAGAAAATAGTTGACAGCTTTAAATCAAACTATTTGATAAAGTAAATTAATTAACTGTTTTTTATTAAAAAAACAAGATTTGGTTAGATCAATACTTTTTATTAGGAAAGGGTCACGACTCGATCTATTTTATAACTAGTTTTGATAATTTTATTTGAATACTTAACTAAATAGTTTCCTAAATACAAAAGTGGATCTAATGAAAATGGATTTGATCCCAAATGAAGGAAAAAAATAAAAATCCAAACATGTTAGTGACGTTTTTTAAATTTCTTCATGAAATATTAATTTTAAGATAAAATTCTTTTAAAAAAAAAAAAACAATGTGCTAGTATAATTTGTCTGAAGTATAGTCAAATAAGTGTTTATATCTTAATTCTTAACAAGAAAGATCTATAAATATGACACTAGACATAAATATATAAAAAAAAAAAAAAGAAAGCACCCTAGTGGAGTTTAACCACTGACCTTTTCATAATGTAATTAAACCAAAAATTTTAACGCCTTAACCATTCGGCCAATTGGGCTTTTAAAATGCCCAATATTGGATTCGAACCAATAAATAAATGAAATGCTCTACAGGCTGAGCTAAGGGTGCTGATGGATATAGAGATATATTACATTATTAGAGGTATAAAATACATAAATGGATAATATCTTGCAAAAAAAAATTCAATTTTATTATTTTTATTATTTAAGGGAGGATATATTAACACCTCTTGTTTGCTGTTAGGTTTTTTTGAATTTTCTATTTATTTGGAAAATAAATAGATTTTTGTTTAGTTTTTTTTTTTATTTTAGAAATAAACCGAAAATTTATTTAATTTTCGGTTTATTTCTTAAATTGAGAAAAACAGCCATTAGGTTTTCAATATTTGAAAACAATTGGGTTAAATCTTTGATTCTACTCTATTCGTTAGAAATTAAAAAAAAACCTAGGCACTTGACGACACTTCACCTAATGCTTTATCACTGTACAACACTTCCTGAATTCCTAAATTTTTTATTGAACAATTTTAATAAAGACTCAAAAATAAGTTTATTACCCAAAAAAAGCTAATAAATTTGTTGAATCCTTTTTTTATAGTAATATTAGAAATATTATTATTATTTAATATATTAGAAATATCTTAATTTTTTTTAATTCAGATATCCATATTAGGTGATTATTTTCATAGGCTGGGCAATTTCAGAGATTATTTATAAATCTTCAATTATTTCTAAATTGTTTATTTTAATATAATTCACAATATTTGGGTTGATTTTTATATATAAAACAAGGGTGCCTTTTAAAGTAATTTGTAAAATTTCTGAGTTTTTAAATTGAAATTGAACCAATCCATTTTAAATATCTTTTGTTGTTAGGTTTTCCAGAATTTACAAGAATTGAGTAAAACCTATGATTTTACTCAATTCTTCTCCCGTTCTGAAAAATTTAGGCACTCTACGGAACTTAACGGCACTTGACGGACACTTCACTTAAGTTTTTTTTTTATTTGAGTAAGCAACTTTTCTAAATTTTTATTTAATTTTTATTTATTAAAAAAAAACTACCTTTCGCTTTTCCTGAGTTTTCTATTTTATTTAGAATATCAATAGATTTCCGTAAGGTTTTTTTTTTGAATTTTCTGTTTATTTGGAAAATCAATGGATTTCCATTAGCATTTTTTGAGTTTTATATTTATTTGTGAAATGTTCTAGGTTTTTTTGAGGTTTTCTATTTCATTTGTGAAGTTTTCAGTTTTTTTTTTACTTTTTGAAATAAACAGAAAAATATAATAAATTTTCGATTTAATTCAAAAAGTAAAAAAAAAAACTAACAAAAATCTATTTATTTCGAAAATAAATAGAAAATTCAAAAAAAAATAACGAAAATCAATAGATTTTCCAAATGAAATAGAAAACCTCAAAAAAACCTCGAACACTTAATAAATAAAATATAAAACCTCAAAAAAAACCTAGATCACTTAACAAATAACACAAAAAACTCAAGAAAGCTAAGGCACTCTACGGCAGTTGACGACACGCCAATTTTTTTAGATTATTATTGATTTGTATAAAATTTAAATATTTTTGATGAGTGTCGTCACGTGCCGTAGAGTGCCTAAATTTTTCAGAATACAAAATAATTTTGTAAATTTTTTTAGGTTACTCTATTCTTCAAAATAATAGAAAAGATAATGACATTTCCAACTTGACTATTTTCTAAATTTTTAATTCTGAAATTTTCTAATTCAAATTTTAGTTTTTTTAATTTTTTGGGTATCTCAATTAATATTTTCTGATTCTTTTTTTCGAAAAGGTAGAAAATTACTTAATTCATCAAAACGGAGGATTTTTAAATTTTTGAATTAACTTAGATCTTCTTTTATATATCGTTATTCTGACAGGATCAATTTTTTCTTCAGTTTTATAAACATAAAAAAAAAAATTGGGGGTGTCTTTCCCTTAAAAAATCATGAAATCTATGATTTTACACTTATTATACATTTGAGGAAATTGAAATAAAAAAACATCTAGACTGTAATTTACACTACTTCCATCTATAAAAAAAACCATAAAACAGGTTTTTTTTTAGTTTGTAAAATTTCTTCAGATTGAAAATTCTTTTTGAGAAGTGAAAGTGAAATAGCCAATTAACCAAACACAATCAGGGTGGGAACATAATCCTTTAAAAAGATATTTTTTAGAGAACCGGTATGGACAAGTGGCAACACAACCCAGTGTACAATCTGAAGGCCAGGGTTCTATTCCCTTAACCATTATTTCTTATTATTTACCATTTTGTCAAATAGCCACCACGTTTTAATTTTAATTAAAAATCGGGCTTAAACTTCTTAGAACCACTAATTCTTTGAGGAAATCGTTTGACCGAATTGAATCTTTTTGACTATTATAAAACTGAACGGAATTGGAACAAAATCCCTCTCAATTTATGGAGCGGATCCAATTTTTGGGAGAAATGACCAGCTCTCACTTGGTTCAACAATATCTCTAATTCAAATTAGGGATTCGGGCAAACAGGTGGACTTTTAGTACCCACTCTTTAATGGAAAAAAAAATAAAAAGATATTTTTTAAATTTTTTTTTGATTTTTATTTTTTCTCCGATAAAAATCTCACTTACCAACACCTTATAAATCTTCATAAGAAGAGATTTATCCCATTAGTACTTATGTTAAATTATTTATTAGTCTAAAAGTACGATAGCTCAACAAAATTTAATTATTGACCTATAAATCAATACAAACTACATTGGTTTATGGTAAGTGGGATTTTTATAAGAGAAAAAAAACTAAACACAAAAATAATCCATTTTTTACATCAATAATTTATTTTAATCTTTTGATAAAAGGATCATAAGGGCACTTAACCAATGTGAAATGATAGTATTTGTTGTATATCTAAAAAATTAATTTGAAACTTCATTGTTAAAGGCTTTTGAATTGATATTACCAGAAAAAAAATTAAAATTGATAATTTCAAAATAGAAATCATTTTTTCACATTTTTACTTTTTTTCTTATTTTCTATTATTTTTTCGAGAACTAGTTGTTTTTAAAAAATTTTTTTATCATGGAATTCATTTGCAAATTTTTTTTTTATTGCAAGATCTCTAGTCACTTGGTAAAATAATGTTATTCAAAATGTTATTGATAAAGATAAAATGAATGTAGAAAAATCATAATTATTTTTATATTGGAATTTTATTTTGATTATCAATAAAAGATCAAAATAATCATGTTTTTTTTTTTCAAAGCTGATCAAAAGAATTTTAGTTTTCACAATTTTTAAGAAAATTGATCGATTTATTAGTTTTGTTTCATAGGGATATCAACTATTCTCTGGTGTATATAATTCTATTTATTTCTTATTTCTTCTTAACAGATTAATGTAAAAAAATAATTGATTTTTGTTAAACTTTTTTTGGCACTTTTGAAAGAAATAAATTTGAGTCATATCACATAAAAAAAGAGTCAAACCCTAATAAAAAATGACCTATCAGTGTGTGATATCTACAGGATATTTTACATGTCCTATTTGTTTTTTTTTTTATTATTATCAATTGTTATCATTCATGATCAATCTGTATTATACGTGATAAATTTTTATGACGTGTTTTAAGAAGTGTGATTTAAATGTGCTAGCTGAGTGCTTGTGATATAATTTTATTACAGTCTATTTATTATTTGGGTATGTGAGTGGTAATAACTATAAAATTTCTAATAAACTCTTTTTCATTCAAAGGTACCCAATTTTATTGAACAAATAGAACATATTCAATGAGTTAACTTCATTATTATTCTCAAATTAATATTTCAATTTTAGATCAAGAGCATTTTTCTTATTTTGTATTTTGCTATTAACTTTTTTTTTCTATTTTGTTTACTTTCTTTTTTTTTTTTTAAAAAATTAAATTTGAAAAAAAAAATGTTTGAAACTCTAAATTAACATAAGAAAAGTTAGACTTTTTTATTTTCTTTTAAAATAAATACACTTACAAGTATAAAATATTATTTTTGAAAATTTAAATTTCCTAAAGAAATTGAGAAATTTTAAAACGAGACGTTTCAATGAAAAGTTCCAAAAATTTTTTTTAACTTTATTTTTTTATTTGAAATTTATGGTTTGATGAGACTTTTCTTTGATGATTATCAACTCGGATATGAAGTTTATTATTTTTCGTATTTCTAAACAACCAAAGTTTGTGTTTATTCTTTTAAACAAATGAACTTTTTCATTTATAGCTGTGGTTAAGCAACATTGGAGTGAAATCGAGTTTAATATTATTTTTTTTTAAAGATAAATTTTTTTACTAATGTATTATTTGTTTCTGTTTTATTTGATCTGTTTGAATAATATATAAAAGGTGTGTTTGTAATAGTTACATGTGTACATTTATATATCATCTTAATTGGATCCTAAATAATTTGCTTAGTTACTGGGATATTCATTGCAATCGGAACAAGTATGTTACAGATAATACAGTCAGTTCCACTTTTAAGACCCAAACTTTGAACAAAATTTCAAGCACTGAAAAAATCTCAAATTAATGCACAAGTTTCGAATTCTAGTAAAAATAATTTGTAAAATAAAAAATTCCAAATTTTGTGCCTTAATTTGAAATTTTTTTGTTCCTTATATTTTGTACAAATTTTGGACCTTAAAAGTAGAACTGACTGTATTAATTAAAAAAATTCGATTTGGAGATACTCTTAGTGTTAGAACTTTATATTTAATTCCAGGTTCGGGTTAATTACTTAATAAAATTCAGCGTTAATTGACTTATGGGAAGTATCTATTATTATTTTTTTTTACCAATTTCTAAATAAGGATTCCTTATCTAGAAATAGATTTAACATTGAAAATAAAAATGGTTTTTTTCAAATCTAAGTAAATGGCAATTTTTTTTTTTAATTTATATTAAATTTAGGTAAAACAACTTAATATGGATTAGTCGATTAATTTGTTTTCTTCGAAAAATTCTGTTTTTTCCCTAATAAAAAAAGTTTTTATAACATGCTATAA